TATGTATGTTTTTAGTTCCTTTTCATCTCATGGTGTCCTTATTCTTTCTGAGTAGGTTCTTTGATGGGAGATCCATCTGCGATGGTGAGTTTCTACCCGAATATCCCAGAGGCTCAGTCACCAACTGCATGTGGAGAATTCGTCTTCCTCATGGACCGCTCGGGAAGTATGCATTGTCCCATGAATAATCAGAATCCATCTCAGCTGCGCATACAGGCGGCCAAGGTAAGACTAGTTCTTTTTCTGCTCATGTGCTCAAGTAAGGATGAGTCTCGGGGGGTAAATTAGAGTCCATCTGGGTCATCTGGATCAGTGCTTCCAGCTGCACTGCAGCTCACGTGACCACTCTGAGGACTATAAGACCGGGAGGCGCGCTCTAGGTGAAGGCCCACACCCGCAGGAGTTAGATGGGGAGGGTCTGTGTGTCTTCAAGGATCCTCTCTCACTTGCTCCCCATACTCTCTTCCTTCAGGAAACACTGATTTGGCTGCTGAAGAGTTTGCCTGTAGGCTGTTATTTCAACATCTTTGGATTTGGATCGTCCTTTGAGTCCTTCTTTCCGTAAGTTTCTAGAAAGGCTACAGAGAGTTCAAAAAAAAGATCCTCTAAAGCAGCGGTTCTCAACCTTCTGGCCCTTTAAGACAGTTCCTCATGTTGTGGTGACTCCCAACCATGAAATTATTTTCGTTGCTACTTCATAACTGTAATTTTGCTACTGTTATGAATCGTATGTAAATATCTGATATGCAGGATAGTCTTAGGTGACCCCTGTGAAAGGGTCGTTTGACCGCCAAAGGGGTCACGACCCACAGGTTGAGAACCGCTGAGTCTTAAGGCATCTTCTGAATGCCTGGCCAGGTTAGTGCTCATTATGGATCTATGTTGAACCTTTCTTTACTGCTCTCTGCACCCTGCCCTCTCTGTTCTCCCGCATGGTGTGTCAGTTTCTCCTACATCTTCCCTTCTCTGGCCTGAGCTCAAAGGTAGGGACTCAACTAGTAGAGATAAATTATATGAAATTCTGTGTTTTTAGTTAAAAATAGTCAAATGTTAGCAATTTCATGGGTTCAAATTATAAACATTGAGCGGGAGTAGAGAGAGAGTGTGAAGGTTGCTTACAGCCCATGGGGCTAAAAGTCAATAATCCATGGAATCTAATTCACAGAGTTTCAGTAACTTACCCAGAGTCGCATAGTTAGTTGTAGAACCAGGTGACATAGTCTGGATCTCAGTATCAAGGAAGTCCCTCTCTTCTATGTCAGCATAGTCCTTTCATATTAGGTGCATGTATATCCCCTTATATACAGAGACCAATGTTTCTGTCCTTGTGATCAAAATGACATTTAGTGATAAAGTTAATTAAAGACAATTGCCAAATGGTGATGAAGGTATTATTTGCTCTAGGAAGTTAAGGAGTAGAAAGATCTTATGAGCTTGCATTCCTAGGGGTTATAAGAATTAAAATACCAATGTACTTACTGAGTGCTTATATGATCAGCACCAGAAAGAATCAGTATTTAATTAGACTCTTAACAATAGCCTGTGAGAAATACAGTATCATTAAATCTATTTTAGAGATTTTTTTAAAAAGGCCCATGGGTGTTACAATCTGACCCAGTGGGAGAGCTCATGTTCTAATTTAGATTCCTCATTCTAGAGCCTGGGCTTCCACCCCCACTGTGAACAGGGGCTTGGCTGGGTCTGACTTGCTGCTGAGATTTCTGATGTTCCCATGGGCCAGCGTGTGTCTCAGGGTTGGGGGCAGATAGATGCAAGGGCTGCCAGTTCCAATATTTAGGAGGAATTTACATTCATTTTGCATTTACAACTTCAAAAGTTCCATATGGGCTCACACTATGCTGTGAGCACGTGAGGAACACTAAGACGTTTAAATGCATGCCTCAGCCTCAGATTCCATCATTGTGTGCGCTTGTGTTGCCAAAGGAAAGAGAGGATGACCGACTTAAGCTGAGTTTCAGAGAAACAACAATCATATATCTGAAATCCACATGTGCTGGAATTATTAATTTTTTTTTGCTTTACCTGGCGGCCTTTCAGTTGGGCCCATGAGCCTGGCCTGATAGTGCTCACCACACAGGCGACAGTGAACAGCAACTCACACATGTTTGTTTTTCAGCTTCTCGTGTGTCAGGAAGGTGCTAGAGAATCTGTGAAAAGTAAGACAGACCTGGTCTGAGCAGAGTGCCCTCCCCTCTGCCATCATTTCTAAGTGAAGGTCTCCATCTAAAGCTGGGACTTGCTCCTGTTTGTAATCTGTCTCTGTGAGGGGGTCATCTCAGGTGCTCCCCTTCTGAGGGACCTGCCTGTAGAAATGAGAGTCCACATCTGGCCAAGGCTGGTAACCTGATGCCTCCTGGTATTACTGGGAGCAGGAGGCTGTTAGAAAGTGAATTAGTTGAGACTTTGAATGGGAACCAAATGGCTGTGGCTGTAGCTGCTCCTGTGGACAAGCAGTGGGCCAGTGGCCGGCAGATTATGAAAGAAGACGATGTGGAGGACAAATAATGACTTGGTGGTTGGATAGTGAGGCAAAGAAACAGGTAGATCTTGGTCCTGAATAAGTTTATTTTGCTGGAAAATAGTCTGCACTGGGACCAGATTCTTAAAGAATATAAATTCCATACAGACCAAGCCTTTCCACAGACACAATATTGGCTAAATTTTTATTTCGATTCCCAGCTGCTGCATCATCAACAGTGGATTTTTCACCCCAGATTTTTCAGATGATTCACCACCCAAGGTGAACTCTTCCCAACCCAGGAATGTCTGGCAATTTCTGGAGCCATGTCTGCTGTCACACGGGGGTGTCTCTGACAACTGCTGGGGATGCCGAGTGCAGCCCACTGTGTAAAGACACCCACCCCCACCTCACAGAATCATCTGGTCCAAACGCCAATAGTGCTGAGGGTGAGAACACAGCTGGACACCGGCTGTTCCTGAAAATGCTAGACTCACACTTTATACACACGCACCTTCCAATGTAGCTCTTCACGGTTTAAGAAAAAACAGCAACAACAAAAAACTAGACAGTTACACAAAGTCACCACTTTTGTGTTGAATCCATTCAAACACTTGAAGTTTAAAACCTTCATTTTTATTTTTACCTTCTGCGATGTTTGTCAAAACATCATGAGTTCTGATCATCATATCTCTCCTGACCTTCCATGTCTGTCCTTTATGAGTCATGCATCCTGGTGACCCCACAAGTAATTTCAGTAACTTGGACCCTGTGGTCCCTGCTCCAGGCGCCCCTTTCCTGCCATCTCCCTCCTGTGTGGATGCCTCTGTGGTTGGACTGTGATGGGCACTTTGGTGAATTCTAAGCTGCAGAGCAGAGGGCGATGCCCGGTTTCCTGCCTGGGTCCCGGGCAGCTGGGGCCTGGCATGAGGTCCCCTGCCCTGGGGGTGACAGGAGGAGGCAGGTGTGGGGAAGGGAGAGGCTGGGGGTGGGGGGCGGCGTCTAGGAGGAGATGGTGATGGCACAAGTCCTCGCCCAGCCTGGAGCCCGGATCCCCGCGGGGCAGCCCAGTGGGTGCCCAGAGGCTGAGGGTCCCAGGGGTCTCCCTGCCCTGCGGCCTCCCAGCCCCAGAGGAGGGGCCCTGGACGCTGGCAGTGGGGGTGGCAGGTCCTGTGTCCCCCCCGCCTGGCGCCCCGAACTGGGTGGCGTCGCCATCCTCTCTCACCAGCGTGACGGGTCCTTCCTGTCCCCGCAGCGCATTTCCTGTATCAGGTTAAGTTCGAGTGTCATTTCTCCAATGGGACGGAGCGGGTGCGGTACCTGGCCAGATTGATCTACAATGGACAGGAGTTCGTGCGCTTCGACAGCGAAGTGGGGGAGTACCGCGCGGTGACCGAGCTGGGGCGTCCCATCGCAGAGCACTTGAACAGCAGGAAGGACTTCATGGAGCAGATGCGGGCCGCAGTGGACAGATGCAGAGAGGCCTACAGGGTGTCTGAGGGATTCCTGGTGCCTCGGCAAAGGATGGAGTGGGGGGGGTGCACACACAGGGCTGTGAGGATCACCCCTGAGGGGCCTGAGGGCGGCTGTGGGACCCTGAGGTTCTGTCTTGTGTAGGGCGATTCTGGGGGTGCCCAGTCGTGTCCAGTCGGTGGAGGGTTTGGGGTGCAGCTGAGGGGGAGGGGAGAGGTGGGAGGAGGGAGTTGTTCTGTCTTGGCCAAACCCCCCCTGACCCTGAGCCCCTGGAATAGGGGTGCTGGGTGCACAAGCCTGTCCCTGGGCAGAGGGTCAGGCTGGGTGTGAGGGGCAGGGCCTCCGAGGCACCTCTGGCCTCTCTGAGCTCCTTTCAGGTCTAAGTGTCTTGTTCCCCCCTCAGTGCCCCTGTGTTTACAGAGGGGGTGATGGTGAGCCAGGTTCTAAATTGTAATTTTGTTAATTAACACACTGATGTTACATCTAGACAGTCCTAACAGTATTTAAGTAATTACATGTTAATTGTTTAGAGTTCTGACAATTTATTTTGCATTCTGTTTTGTTAAATCTTTTTCAATATCGCCAAATACTCAGTTGAAAATTTGTTTTTTACTTTAAATTTATCCTTCTTCGATTTCTAAGGTTCTTGAACATTTTCCACGTACGTGTTGGCTAATGACTGTTCCTGCTCTAGGAATGGCCTATTGCCCGTCATCCCTGGGGTCTGGGCCTTTTTCTCGCCGATTTTCCGGGTTCTCTAGGCAGCAGAATGGACACTTTGCTGACATGGATTCAGCATTTTCTCCAGCTCCTCGTTTGTGTTTTCATTCTGTTTTATTACTTTCCTCTAGAGGCCCGAAGCACAAAATTCATGCACTGGGGGGTGGGGTTCCCTCAGCCCAGCCTGCCCCTCAGTCCGGGAGCCCTCAGTGGATGTCCTACTGACGGCCACAGTCTGGCAGCAGAGGCTCGGAGCAGGCATCGTGTGTGTGTGTGTGTGTGTGTGTGTGTGTGTGTGTGTGTGTGTGTCCCCGCTGGGGGGTCTGCCCCCAGCCAGGCTTGGAGCAGTTGCCGTGTGTGTATGTGTGTGTGTATGTGTGTGTCCCCTCTGGGGGTCTGCCTCCAGCAATATTAGAGGCTCAGGGTAGGCTGTGTGTGTGTGTGTGTGTGTGTGTGTGTGTGTGTGTCTGTCTGTCTCTGCTGGGGGCCTGCTCCAAACCACACGGTGGAAGCTTGGAGCAGGCGCCCCTCTCTTTTGATCTCTCAGGATCCTGGCCTCCACTGTGTGTTGTACTCTCCCTTGAGCTGTGGCCAACATGGGGTGCTGCCTGCTGGATCACCAGGGCACCTGGGGTCACGCTCTGCTGGATGCTCCCTGTGGGTGGCACATTCCTGCTCTCTAATCATCAGGGTGTCCTGGAAAGGGGCAGGGCTAAGGCAGTGCTGGTATGAGAAGGCACACAGGGTCCGGCTGGGGGCGGGGCTTAGGTGGCACATTGGGGTCCTGGCTGGGGGCGGAGCTTAGGCAGTGCAATTGTGCCGCCTAAACCCCGCTGCCCAGGGCTTCACACAGGGCCGAGATGGCAGCTAGGGCTGTCCCGCCTGCCTGTAGTATGCAAATTAGCTGCCATCTTTGTCAGTGGCTAATTTGCATATCTCGCAGATTAGCCAATGGGAGGTGTAGAGAAGGTAGGGTCAATTACCATCTTTGTCTATTATTAGATAGGATGTTAAGAATTTCAACATCTTTAAGATAATGAAGTGCAGCTCTAACCAGTTTGGCTCAGTGGATAGAGCGTTGGCCTGCGGACTATGGACTGAAAGGTCCCAGGTTCGATTCCGGTCAAGGGCATGTACCTTGGTTGCGGCACATCCCCAGGAAGGGGATGTGGAGGCAGCTGATCGATGTTTCTCTCTCATTGATGTTTCTAACTCTCTATTCCTCTCCCTTCCTCTCTGTAAAAAATCAATAAAAATTATTTTTAAAAAACATAATGAAATGCACTCAGAAATTGCAAGCAATGATTTACCATCAATCTTAAATCTACCCTTTTCGGTAGAAAATGTTTCCCCCAAGTTCCTCCTCCTCCTCTGCCACCTCCTTTTCCTCCTCCTCTACTTTATCTTCTCCTCCTCCTCCTCCTCCTCTTCCTCATCAAAATCTGTATTTATTGGGCCTGGTCTTAGGCTGGAAGCAAACATATGAATGAGTCCCACGCCCTGCCTTGAGCTCAAATGTCAACTTGAAAAGAGAGACAATTATAAAATGACAACAATCCCAATAAAAATTCAGCTTCTTTTGAGAAGGAGCGGGTTGCTCAGTGAGTGTC